TGGATTTATCTATTCTGGATTTGTCATATAAATAGATTCATATAATATCTGCCTTTTTGTTGCTGGCTTTTTTTCATGTAGCATAGTGTTTTCAAGGTTCATCCAGATTGTAGCATGTATTAGTACTTTGTTCCTTTTTATGTCTGAAAAGTATTCCATTGTATGTGTATACTTTATTTAACCATTCACCTGTTGATAGATGTTTAGTTTGTTTCCATTTTCTGGCTATTTGTGAATAGTGCTGCTGTGAACATTCATGTACAAGGATTTGCCTGAGTACCTGTTTTTAATTCTGAGCATGTATAGGTATACCTTGGAGGTATTGTGGGTTCAGTTCCAGACCACCTCAATAAACTGAATATCATAATAAAACGAATCACACAAAATTTGTTTCTGGTTTCCTAGTGTATATAAAAGTTATGTTTACACTATACTGTAGTATATATTAAGTGTATTATAGCATTAGGTCTAAAAAATGTACATAAAACAATTTAAAAATACTTTATTGCTAAAAAATACCAAAAATCATCTGAGCCTTCAGCATGTTATAATCTTTTTGCTGGTTTAGGGTCTTGCCTCGATGTTGGTGGCTGCTGACTGATCAGAGTAGTGGTTGCTGAAGGTTGGGGTAGCTGTGGCAATTTCTTAAAATAAGACAGCAATGAAGTTGGCTGCATTGATGGGCTCTCTATTCATGAAAGATTTCTCTGTAGCATGAGATGCTTTTTGATGCTCTGTAGCATTTTACCTATAGTAGAACTTCTTTGAACAGTGGAGTTAATCCTCTCAAACCCTGCTGCTGCATTATCCCTTAATTTATGTAATGGTCTTACGTAAGTTGTCATTTCAGCCATGTTTGTAGCATCTTCACTAAGAATAGATTCTACCTCAAGAAACCACTTTCTTGGTTTATCCATAAGAAGCAACTCTTCACTATTTAAATTTTGTCATGAGATTGCAGTGATTCAGTTACCTCTTCAGGCAATACTTACAATTTTACTTCTTTTGCTGTTTCCACCACATCTATAGTTACTTCTTCCACTGAAGTCTTAAACCCCTCAAAGTCATTCATGAGAGTTGGAATCAATTTCTTCCAAACTGTTAATGTTGATTTTTTTTTACCTCCTCCCATGAAGCACAACTATTGTTAATGACATCTAGAATGGTGAATCTTTTCCAGAAGGTTTTCAATTTATTTTGCCCAAATTCATCAGAGGAATCGCTATCTATGGCAGCCATAGCCTTACAAAATGTATTTCTGAAACAATAAGACTTGAAAATCAAAATATCTCTTTGATCCATGGGCTGCAGAATGGATATTGGCTTAGGAGACAGGAAAACATTAACCTCCTTTTATATCACCGTCAGAGCTCTTGGGTGACCAGGTACATTGTCAATGAGCAGTAATATTTCGGAAGGACTTTTTTTTTTGAGCAGGAGATCTCAAGAGTGGGCTTAAAATATTCAGTAAATCGTGCTGTAAACAGATGTGCTGTCACACAGGCTTTGTTGTTCCATCTATAGAGGGCAGACAGAGTAGATTTAGCATCATTCTTAAGGGCCTTAGGATTTTCAGAATGGTAAATGAGCATTGATTGGCTCAATTTCAAGTCACCAGCTGTATTGGCCCCTAACAAGAGAGCCAGCCTTTCTTCTGAAGGTTTGAAGCCAGGCATTGACCTCTCCTCTTTAGCTCCTAGACAGCATCTTCTTCCAGTAGAAGACTATTTCATCTACATTGAAAATTTCGTCCTTAGTGTAGTGACCTTCAATGATCTTAGCTAGATCATCTGGATAACTTGCTGCTTCACCTTGCACTTTTGTCTTATGGAGATGGCTTTTTTCCTTAAACCTCATGAACCAACCTCTGCTAGCTTCTGACTTCTGTAGCTTCTTTAATTCTCTTGGCCTTCAAAGAATTGAAGAGAGTTAGAGTTTTGCTCTGGATTAGGCTTTAGCTTAAGGGAATGTTGTGTCTGGTTTGATCTTCTATCCAGACCACTAAACTTTCTCCATATGAGCAATAAGTATGTTTCTCTTTCTTATTAATGTCATTTGTGTGTTCACTGGAGCAGTTCTTTTAATTTCCTTTAAGAACTTTCCCTTGGCATTCACAACTTGGCTAACTGATGCAAGAGACCTAGCTTTTGGCCTGTCTTGGCTTTTGACATATCTTCCTCACTAAGCTTAATCATGTCTAGCTTTTGATTTAAAGTGAGAGATGTGCAACTCTTTCCTTTGACTTGAACACTTTAGAGGCCATTGTAGGGTTATTAATTGTTCTGATTTCAATGTTGTGTCTTAGGCAGTAGGGAGGTCCAAGGGGAGAGAAAGAGAGAGAGAGAGAGATGAGGGGAACAGCTGATCAGTGGAGCAATCAGAACACATACAGCATTTATTGATTTTTATCATCTTATATCGGCATGGTTCATCGCACTCCAAAACAATTATAGTAGTAACATTGAAGATCTCAGATCACCATAACAGATATAATAATAATGAAAAGGTTTGAAATATTGTGAGAATTATCAAAATGTGACACAGAGACACAAAGTAAACACATGCTGTTGGAAAAAATGGTGCCAGTAGACTTGCTCAATGCGGGATTGCAACAAACTTTCAATTTGTAAAAAACATGGTATCTGCAAAGCGTGATAAAGGGAAGTGCTGTAAAATGAGGTTGGAGTGGAATTGCTGGGTCCTGTGGTAGTTTAACTTTTGAAAAACTGCCAAACTGTTTTAGTGTTGTACTATTTTGCATTTCCACCAGCAATGTAGGAGGGTTCCAATTTCTCCGTGTTCTTACCAATACTTATTATTTTCCTCTTTTAATTATAGTCATCCTAGTGGGCGTGAAGTTATATATCCTTGTGGTTTTGATTTCCATTTCCCTAATGACTAATGATATTGAGCATCTTTTTAAGTTCTTGTTGGCCATTTGTATATCTTCTTTGGAGAAATGTCTCTTCAGGTCTTTTGCCCATTTTTAAATTGGGTTGTTTGTGTTTTGCTAATGAGTTGTAAGAGTTATTTATATATTCTGAATACTAGATCCTTATGTATAATTTGCAAATATTTTTTTCCATCCTATAGGTTGTATTTTGACTTTCTTGATATCTTTTGATGTATGAAAGTTTTTAATTTTGATGGAGTCAAATTTATCTTGTTCATGCTTTTGGTGTTATAATAAGAATTAATTCATTACTAAATCCAAGGTTAAGATTTACTTGTATATTTTCTTCTAAGAGTTTTATGGTTTTACCTCTTGTATTTAGACGTTAATCTATTTTGACTTAATTTTTGTATGTGGTCTGAGGTAGGGGTCCAGCTTCATTCTTAATCCAGTTGTTGAAGATGCTATTCCTTAACCATTCTTTAACCAGCACCATTTGTAGAAGATGCTATTCTTTTCCCATTGAACGATGTTAGCACCCTTGTTGAAAATTGACCATAGACATATAGGTTTGCTTCAGTTTTTTTCCATTGGTCTATGTCTATCCTCACGGCAGTACCGCACAAGTTGATAGTTTTTACCTGTAGTATATGCTAGTATAGTGTACTGATTTTTTAAGCTTTGATTACATTTTAGAATTTTTTAAAACTTTGCGTAAATTTATTAAACAAATTATTTCATCTAAGTGTCAGCTTTATAACAACACATACACAAACTTAATGGATGGTTTCATTTTAGAAATTTTTGCCATGTTTCATCATTTCTCTGACTGCATACAGAATCGTGATGTAGGTATACATTGTATCAGGGTACATTGTAGTTGGATTTTCACTGTGAGTTAAATTTACCTTGAACCTCTAAATGAAGTGCTAGTTACATAAATTCATCCCTCCAGAAGATGTGATAGCTCCAGAGTAGGAACAGCAGATTTGGACTAAGCATTACATCGGGAAGGAATCACATACCTATAGTTTGTAGAGAAAAGATGGTTGGAAATACTGCTTTTTACCCAGGTTTTGGTTTTTGACTTTAGTAAATACAACAGAAGTTTCAGTACTTTAGAACCAGAATATGAGATGCCTTTTAATTAAGTCTATTTTAATCTTTCTCTTTTTTCCCTGTAGTAATTTATTTGCTAAAGAAACTGGGTTGTTTGTCCTTTTGTTTCCCACAATCTAGCATTTGTTGATTGAATTCCTATGGTGCAGTTTAGTATGTTCCTGTGTTCTTCTCTTCCTATAAATTGGTATTTGGATATACCAATCCAAATCCTAGTGACTACTAGATCAAATTTTGGTAAAAAAATTTTTTTTTTGTTATATGTTCACTTCATAGGCAATGTTTATGTCTTCCATCAGGAGGCACGTCATACCTGCTTATTTCTCTTTCCATTATGTTAGCTAAGTTTACCTCAATTCACTTTAGTTTTAACAGTTCAAAGGATCTTAAGACAGGACCGTGGATATGAGCTGTACAGTCCAAGAATCTGGGTTCAGGTTTTGATTCTTTACGTACTAGTTCTGTAATTTTGGAAAGTCACTTTCCCTTTCAGTGTTAAGTTCCTTCTCTGTGTGATGGAGATGATGATGCCTATTCATAGGGTTGTTTTGGAGATTAAAAGAGGTAATGCATGGACAACTATTATTGTTTTGTGAATTTTAAAATATCCTAAATCTAAAGGGTAGATTGTCTTGATTTGTAAATAAGGAAATTAAAGTTCGGATGGCTAATTTTTTGGCTCATCTGGGTTTATTTTAGGGAAAAAGTAAGTAAATTATTCAATGAGGCCAGTAGCTTTCCTTTGTCCCTATCAATGTGAACAGTTAACATTTAGTAATTGCTCATAATAAGCTTAATTCAAAAGTGATTTTTGCCAATGCTTCGGATGTTGGTGTGTGTTCATATTAATGGGCCCCACTTAATGCTGAAAAGTAGGTTCCTTGTTGAACACACTGTATACCGTGGTGCATTTTGTGCTTGTAGTCCACTGAGAAATAATACTCTTTTTTTCCATAGGGAGCTTACTGTTAATGTTTTTATTTTACAGTGTAATGTTCAAGCCCAGAAATGCCTTATGTGGATCGTCAGAATCGCATTTGTGGTTTTCTAGACATTGAAGAAAATGAAAACAGTGGGAAATTTCTTCGAAGGTACTTCATACTGGATACCAGAGAAGACAGTTTTGTATGGTACATGGATAACCCACAGGTTTGTAAAATCCAGAAGGATTTTAAAAGCACAGAAATGTTTTATTTATTTTAGTATTTAACATACTATTACTGGTTTTAGGATTTGTCTTCCTCAATAGTATATATTTAAATTTATTTCCACTGGCTCTACTCTCCTGCCCTATAACCCTGACTCCTTCCTGTCTTGTTTGAATTTCAGAAGGTGAAACTAAGTTTGTTTGATAAAAATTCATGCCTTTGTATATGTTTTTCCCTCTTTGGTAGAAAAACGCTCTCTCTGGTTAAAATTCTTAACTCATTTAAATTTAAGATGCTCTATCTAGGAATAGAGACTGCTATCTTTTAATAAGTAACTACTTAGTACTCTTGCACACATGTAGTCCTTTCATCTTGTAGTGTCAGCCTTGAGTGTCAGTCATTGTGATGCCATCCCTGAAGTGAAATGCATTTTGATTTTCTTGTTGTCTTGCAAATTCTTGGGGTAAATATCATAAATTAAAAATCAGAATCCTCATTTTAAGATCTATGAGACACCTGAGATTAGAGTTCATCTGTTGAATAGTTTTAAACTTTCTCTACCTGTGGAACACTTCATCTCCAAGTAAAAATTGTTACAAAAGTTAAAAATGGACATATATGTTGCAAGGAAATATGTGCAAAGCAAGGGATGAAGCCCTAGCAAACTTCTAAACTGATTTTGTGCAGTGGGCTTCTCGTGGAAGTGAGGAATGGGAAGTCTAGGGAAGAGCGGGGACTTGTAGGAGGTTCTCTTTTGTTTCACAGAACAGAAGCTAGATCTCCTGATAACTCCTCCAGTGTTCTTTACTGCTCTCTACTGATTTTAGATTATTCTTTACTGCTGTCTACTGATGTTAGATTAGAAAAGAAACATACATGCTAATGCGTGTGTATTTGTTTATATAGAATTTAAGTTGCAAGGGACTTTAGTATTAATTTAACCTCCTTAACTTAAGAGACCCATCCATCCCTGGTCTTTATTTTAGCTGTTGTTTGAACTGCATGTTACTAAAAAATATTATAGTGGAGACAGCTTCAATCATTTTTTTTCTGTGACCCAAAATCTAATTCCTTATATCTTCTACCCATTAATTCTACTTTTGCTCTCTGATTCTCTTGTAAAGTAAATTTTAGTCCTTTATGCACAGCTAGCCTTTCAAATTCTGGAGGATAATTTCTATGTTAATTCAGTTTATATGATTTGGGTACTGACTTTGTATGATACTTTTTTTTGCTGGGAACTATCTGTTTTCTGTCACTATCCTTATAGAGGTTATTGACATCCTATTTTTCTCCCTTATCTCTCTGTGTAAGCAGCTTTCTTGGGTGGTAGCCATCTGGCTATGCAACTATGTGATTATTACCTTTATTTACTTGATGAGAGTCTGTGGGAGAAACAACAGGTCAGCAAAAAGCAAAAGTTCATGTTTAACTTTTTTTTTTTTAAATATAAATCATATTCCTCCCTTTTGTCTTTAGGTCACAATCCCCTCAGAAACCCCATTTCCCAAAGTAGAGACATCATCCTCCCTGACTCCCCCTAATTCCTGTTAACTGGATTCCCGTTTGTTCCTGGTTCTCTTTACCCATTTGGCCATTGCACACTTCTGCCTATGTTGAATTGTTCTCCCTGATTTGTCTCTTTCTCTTCACAAGGTCTGATTGACTTATATATGGTTTCACCTGAATTGTACTTAAAACTCCTTGTTTTTCTATTTTCATGCATAATAGATTGTTCTTATAATTCCTCCTTTTATTGATACTTCCAAATTAGCAGAACTAAAAGGAGAAGATAAGTACAAAATGGGATATATTTATTACCCTGAATGAAACATGAACTTGGAATTCAGAGAAAGGTTGCAATTATAGCAAGTAGAGGATGTTGAAGTCTTCGTGTACGTGGTAATATTTGAATTTGACCAGGAAGGTTGGATATGATTTTGGCTAAGAGGTGGAGAAGTGGTCAAAGAATAATGGGGCAAAGAAATCAGAGCAAGAGAGCCTGTGGTGTACTTGGAGAATACTTTACTTTGGCTATAGCAGAGGGAGTATTTATTAAGGTTTGTGCTCAGCTAGGTCTTTTTCACATGAGGTTTGTTAAAGCCAGATCTCTATGTTGTGATTAACGCATTGGCTTTTCTGGACATAGCACGGAATTTTAAATTTTTCAGTTCGTTCCTATTAAGTTTATCTTCTCTTTTCAACTTAGGAGAATCTTTTAAAGTTTTGATTCTGCCAACCTGGTGTATTAGACATTATTACCAATTTTTTGTCACTTTTAAATGTAGTAATCAAGACATATCTCTTTATGAAAACTTTAGTAAAATGTTTTTGCTAAGATTATTATATTAGGTTGAACCATATGAAATTGTCAATATACAACCATTTTGAATTACTTAAAAATGGCAATTTAATATGGTTCAGTCTAGTCTTATGTCAAAGTGCAATAACATGATTATACTGATCGTAATAACCCTGGTAGAGAGAGAAAATTAGTTTGAGTCACCTGTCTTAGGGAGCCATTTCTTCCTGTGATCACTGCTTTGTTTGCCACTAACCATTGCTTTTAAAATTTGTTCTAGTGTATTTCTAGGGATCAGTTTGTGGCTTTCTGTGTTTGGTTGGTGATGGTGGAGAATTACGTGATTAAGTGGCTGTAATTAGAAAGTGAATTTGAAGAGATTTGAAAAAGTATTTGTCAAAATGAGTTCAGAAACTCATAAATAACTAATGGCTTATTTCCCTTTTTACTTAAATGTCATATTAGTTTATTATTTCTTGTTCATTGTCAGGTAACAAAATTTGAAATGCAGTTTTTTCCAGTTGAACTTGACAGTAATACTCGTCCATAGAAAATGGATATTTTGAATATTCTTTTTCTCTCAGGTGCTTATGTTTCCCTGTACTGTGCTACTATTTAATCTCTGACTTTTTACATCGTATTTTTGTTTCTCATTTCTCTTCCTTACACAAAGCCTTAAATTTCTCTTCAGCCAATTAAAATAGTAGACTTTTGGAAAACTTAAAAAAAATTATTATCCTTGAATGGGAGGATAACAGTGTTTGAAAAAAATCACTTTGGTAATAGTTAGAGATATTTTCACATTTCCTTTCCTTATCCAAAATTTAAAAAACAAAACAAAAAACCTCTACACGTAAAATATTATATATATATATATACATTAAAGATTATAATTTTATGTTGTATCCATACTTACTATGTATGATTTATATTTGGAAGTTTATACATAGTATACAGTTTAAAGCAGAACATAATGCAGTTTTACAATACATACGAGTGAAAGTTTTGAGAAGATCTGTCCCTGTCAACAATAACTAGTTCATGTTTGGGAATCTTAAGTCTTTGAAATGTCTAGGCTTCCAGTAAGCTTATAGAGGTCTGAGAAAGGTACCTCCTAATTATTCATTAGAATAAGACCATAGATTTTTTTTTTTAAAGGTACATTAGTATAAAGTAAGTTAAAAAGTTAATCCTGCTTAATCTCCAGTGGAGGTAATTTTCAAAATCAAGAATGTTTTAATTTTACTTTTGAAATCTTCTGTCAGTTGTTTCATATATTTCATATATTCTTTGTTACTTTTTCCTGGATTCTTTTATCTGGTTTTCCTATCTCCATCATCCCCCTCTGTAGTCCATCCAGTTTATTATATTACAGGATATATTAATTGAAGCAAATTTTGATTACAGGTCTGCTCAGAAGCCTTCTTCATTGGTTTCAAATTCTCTAGGTATAAATTCCTTGCTACTTTGTTTTTTATTTAGGTTCTCCTTGTTTCGATTCTCAGTTCAAGTTCTCAGACCATGGCTCTGTACTGCAATCCTGTATAGCACTGTATTACAGCCCAGCACAGCCACTGACCCCTTCTAGCACAGAGCTTCTGTGTATCTTCAGCTGCTTGCCGTAGTTTATGTTTTCTTTGCCTGGAATATTCTCTGTCCTGTTTTTTGTGTTTCCAGAATTTTCCTTTAAAATCCAGCTTAAATGTTGTTCATTACTTCAGAGTCTTTACTCATAGCTTCAGCGAGAAATGATTTTTCTTCTTTGTAATTCTTTACTCTCATGTCTTTTATGATACAAAGCCTCATCTAAAACTTGTTAAGGGAAGAATAAAAGTATTTCCTGTGAAAGTGCCAAATATATACATACCTGGCCCATGATTTAAAGAGAATTAATAATTTTTTTGGAAAAAAGTATCAATGTAGATTAAATATGATGTTATAAACACTAAACCATTTAAAGTGGGAAAAACTAATCCATTTTTTCAAGAGATATATTTGATAAAGAAATGTTACTAGAACAAAGTAACATGTATAGTCTTTTAAAATTTCTTAAAATTATATTTCTTTTACGTCTCTAAATATTTTCCCATTGCTTTCAGGAACAGAATCTCATCTTGTTTATGGCTTTTTAAGCCCATGAAAAAGATTATTAGTTTAGCTACAATGATAAAAATAGCCTTTTAGTCCTAGAATGCATTATGGTGAAACAGAGTAGGGTTCAGTTTTGTTATCCAGGTTGTCGACTTGATTTCAGATGTAGTAAACACTTGAACTGAAAAAAGTTGATTTGTAAAATGTGATATTAAAAAATCTGATTTCTTAATTTTTAGTATATGTAGAACATTATAGTATAAAATAAATTTGTAATGTTGGATATTAATTATATATTAATAATTTATTTCCAGAACCTACCTTCTGGATCATCACGTGTTGGAGCCATTAAACTTACCTACATTTCAAAGGTAGTCCTTATACATTGTTTTATATTCATCTGTGAATTAAAATCCCTCTGAGTGGGAGTATGACTGGAAGTAGCAGTTTCCTTCGCCTGCCTTTTAGTGGTGATATTCAGGTTCATATCATGCTGAAAACAGTACCTGATTACTGTGTTTAGGAAGTTCTTTAATTGATAAAATTAGGAAGAATATGAATTTACTTACAGGGTATGGCAAATTGCAAAAGTTAACATTAACTTTTATGATGAGGTATATGAACATCAGAAAGGGAGAAATCAGTTAACAATTAGGTTCTACCCTGAGAAGGTCTGGAGAATTTTCTAAGTCTGTATTATGTTTATTTAGGCTGTTTCCAACTTTTAAATTCTGTTGTCTTTGACCTTGTTTTTTTTTTTTTTTTTTTTTTTTTTTTTTTGAGATAGTCTCACTCTCTTGCCCAGGCTAGAGTGCTGTGGCGTCAGCCTAGCTCACAGCAACCTCAAACTCCTGGGCTCAAGCGATCGTCCTGTCTCAGCCTCCCGGGTAGCTGGGACTACAGGCATGCCCCACTGTACCCGGCTAAGTTTTTCTATTTTTAGTCGTTTGACTAATTTCTATGTATAGTAGAGATGTCTCGCTCTTGCTCGGGCTGTTCTCGAACTCCTGGCCTCAAGCAATCCTTCTTCCTTGGCGTCCCAGAGTGCTAGGATTATAGGCTTGAGCCACGGTGCCTGGCCCTTGTTTTCTTCTAGTAGTGTTTTGGGAACTGAGCTAGAGACACTGAGGTGCTTGCCCTGGGCGATTTTTGTGTTTTACACAAAAGCCATAAAAGTTTGTTGATGACTTAAAATATGAGATGCAAAAGGTAGCAATACTGTTATTAAGTAATGTGTACCATTATGCATATGCTGCGATCTGTTGGCAAAGTTAGATCACTTCAACAAAAGACTAATTTATGAATGTACCTCTGTTTAGAAGACAGATTTTTTAATAAATAAAATAGTTTATTATCAGTATTTCATAGAGCTATTCATTCTCATTGACCAAAATAATAATAATAATAATAATTTGTCTTGGAAAATAAAAACTACATATTTAAAAGGAAACATTTTCTGTTAAAGTCATACTGTGTAGATTTGCAAAAGACAAATACTATTTAAGTATACCTCAAGTGTTTCTGTTAATTCAGACATTTATAAAATGCTACAGGGTAGCTTGTAGTTTAAATTCTACAGAGATTATTAATTATTAGGAAGCATAGAATTCCATTGTAAAATAAATTTTAGAGCCCCAATTTGCTTCATTGCTTGATTATATGCATAATGTAACGTTAATACATTGCCAAGCAGTTTTTACTCTCAGCAGAATGATGTGGGAAGGCCTATTTTATTGGAATAGGTAGTTGAGGGAGACAGTGCCCATTTGCCTGTATCTTTTTAATTGTTGCTTGGTCTTTTTTAAAAAGTGGGTGTTATTTTTTGAAATAAAGTATTAATTCAGTAAAGCAGGCAGGGTGACTTGGCCAGCTGCTTTTCCCACCTCCATTGCTTCTCTTTGAAAATATAACCTCTTTTCTGTACAGTTCTGTTAACTTTTATCTCTGTCCTCAGCCTACCGAAGTTTGAATTGTACAGTTTGTACTCTACTTTAGACATGTCACTTTTTTTCCAGAATTTATTTCTGGAACAAACTTCAGTGTGACTCAGAGCTGTGAATTTGTAGTTTGGATCAGTGAGAAACCCCGGACTTAGAATTCCCTTTGAACGTACAAAACAGATGTTACAATTATGAGTTCTATCACTGGGCCGCAGCATGGCAATAGTCATGAATGGGCTTCCAAGAGCTACTTTATTTAAAGGGATAGCAGCAAGCAGGTGCAGCTCGTTGCTTCACCTTCTGAACCATGTGCTACGTTTAATAAAGTGACCCCATTATCCTGGGGTATTCTCCTATACAAGAGGGGATCAAGTACCGTTTTGGTTTCCTCATAGCAGATTAATGCTTTAATTAATTAATTAAGATTAAAAATATAATTTAAATGCTTGTATTTTAGGGCTTTAAATACACAGTCTCTCCTTGTGTACAACCGTTTTTGCTTACACATTGTTCATAGCTAATTTAGGAATATGTTATTTGGGAAGAATTCATAGTTTCTGTAGAGTATTCATTGAGGATATTTTGAAAATTATGTTAAACTAAAACTATTTGTATATGGACATAAAGCCTAATGGTTTACTTTCAATTTCTCGTTCACATTTTTTTTGAAGAAAAACCAAGTTTGTTTAAAGAAAACACGGAAGTATCATTTGTTACGTCTTATAGTTGAGACTCACATCCCATATTTAATTTGCTGTTCTTTTTCAGGTGCCTTTAAAGTTTAATTTTAGATCTGTTTGCCAAATGCATTTGACTGTTGGGAAATCATACATTTGGAAGTTCAGATTGGTTATAGGAGAATATGAAGTAATGAGTAACTCATCTTTATTTTTCTCGTTAGGTTAGCGATGCAACTAAGCTAAGGCCAAAGGCTGAATTCTGTTTTGGTAAGTAGCCATATTTTATATTAGTTATTGTAAATTAAACTGATATAATTACATCATATTGTAAAAGAAAATAGTCACAGAAGACCACACAAAGCAAACCTGTGACTTAATGAATTATTCTAAGGAGAATTTCCCTTGTAACCACCATACAGATGAGGAAGTAAAACTTTGCCCATCCACCCCTACCCTTGAAGCCTCTTTCCTGTGGCCCATCCTAGTCGCAATCTTCTCCCACCATCCATATGTAACTGTTATCCTGGTATTTATAATAATCACCTCCAGCGAGATTTCAGGTAATTTTTAACTTTCTATCTCATTCTATATTAAATATATAAATAATGAAGAGGATTTGGTCTTCAGCTTGTGGGTAATAGAGAAATTTACAGTTAAGGGGCAGGAGTAGTTGAAGGTATTGGATTAACTCATTCAGCAAATGCTTAGGGCTGCCTAGTACGTGCCAGGCATTGTGCTTGGCACTAGGGCTGTGAGATGAACAAGAAGCAGTTGCTGCCCTTAAGGATCTCACAGGCTGGTTGGCTCATGGACAGATACAATACCAGGTAATTATCATTGCATTTGTCACAATTAGTAGATAAAGGGGTGTGCAGTCTATTAAAGAAATGCAGTCGAAGCGCTTCAAATCCTTATTGGGGAGCTCAGGAGTCAGGGGAGCCACATTAGAGGAGGAGATGCTTGAGGTGGTGGCCAGCTAGACTCCTGATCATCCTTCACCACTGGGGAGAAAAGGTGGAAGACCATGTGGACAGAGGAATGCAGGCAAAAGAGGGTGGTGTGTGTGGAACTGACACTCAGTGAAGTTGGAGGGGATGATGAGAAGCTGGAGAGTATAAAGGCAGGCGGGAGTCAGGCTTCAGTGTGTTGCCAAGGGATATGTTCTATTATTTTGAAAAAGGGAGGAGAGAAAGAGAGCATCTAGAAGCAGACATAAAGTGAAGGAGGTTGGTTTGCTTTTTTGTATGAATAGTGAAGTTTTGATGCAGGTAGATTACAAGTAAGTGGCTTTTGAACCACATATACTGCTACTATATGTATGTGAACTACTATATGTAAGGTCCTGAGTTAGGATGGTGGCAATGGGAGAAAAAGAAAGAATGAAAAACATTAGAAGGAAAAGAGCAGGGACTTGGTGACTGGACATGTGGGAGTTGAAGGGAAGAGAGAGGTAGCAGGGAAGTTTGCTTTAAGGAAAGAAATGAAGAATTAGGGAGATCTGATTACAAAGGGTAAAATGTTTTCTAAGGAGTTTGAAATAGTGGGGGAAACCTCCCAATGGAAATAATCTGGTAACAGTACATGAGGACTGGATAGAGCTTGAAGATGAAGAATGGAGAAGTTTGGAGTCTTAAAATAGTGGGTGATAGTCGAAGCTGGGAGAATTGATATCCCCTCAGAGAGTATGTTAATGGAAGGGACAAAAATTCGAGGTGGCCAACAGACATTAGAAGGGAATATTTTATGTTAAAGTAAAAAAGATACTGTTTGGGGGTAGAATTGTTAAAGATCTTTGCTCTCTTTTGCTTGCAAAAGGCAGGTTTCTTCGGTAGACAGTATATTAGGGGTTATATGTATCCAACGAGAAAATATGATATGAGCAGGATGAAATACAGCTGCTCAGGGAATCCTCTATAATGCTTTTATCACTACTGAGAAACTACTTAAAAAGTTACATGTTTATTGTAAATTATAATTTTGATTACTAAATAGGAAAATGCCTCATGGCCTTGTGAATGAAAGGCTATTGGGGGCAAGTCAAGTAACAGAGAACTTAGAATTTTAGAACATATAATCCACATACTTTTGACAAATGTTTTTTGGTAAAATCTCAAACTTATACTTGAAAAAATAGTAATATGTAGTAATAGATTCAACATTCATAGTTATTAGGGATATTTAGAGTGGGTGATTTTCATTGGAATCAGAGATTAAGATTAGTCATTTACTGGTTCTGTCAGTAGTTTATTAGTCCTCTACAACTAGTGGGAGTAGAGAAAAGATTCGTAAAATGCTTGTCTTCAGAGAGAAAGGCACTGGCTTCTAAAATAGAACCACAACTTCCATTCAGAATGACAACATACATCCTCTCAGATTGCTCCAAAACAGTGAGAAAAAGAAACACTCAAACCATCTTTGATGAAGGGAGCAGATATCTATAACCCTTAGTGTATAGAGATTGAGAGTAGTTGGAGGAATGGTAGGTAACTTAGCAGAGTGGAGGAACAGGCCAGTGAAAAGCTCACCATTTGTAGACTGCCTCACCCTGACTCTAGACAGGCTTAGATACAGGAGGTACACTCTCCAGGGGAAGCAATAGTGAGGAGGAAACAAAAATTAGGGACTTTGTTCGAATGTCCATATAAGAAGCAACCTGTAGTCCCTACCTCCATGTGGCTCACTCAGGCAGCCACCCTTCCTCTATCCCAGCAGGAAATGGGATGAATGAAGTCTCCAGAAATAGAATCAGTGAGGCTCCATACTTAGGACACTAGTCCCAGAGAAGGAAAGGAATGAGGTATGAAACTGAAAATAGGAGGATTAAATGAAAGTCTGCATGGTGAATGCAGCCCTTTCCTGCATCCAGCCTGAGAGCACTGGGCAGCCAGGTTTCAGTGGGATAAGACTCTGAATACCCCAGAGAAAAGACCCATAGGTCCTGACATCTGGACATTTTTACCAGAGGAGCTTACCGTAGTTGACTACTGAGGTCCAACAATCAAAAACCCTGCAACAACTCAAGAGAGCTTCCTCTCAGTCTTTTTAGTAACTTGCTTTTAAATATGAACAGATAGCCCAGAATTATTGAACATTTGGGGAGAGAAAATTATCAAATAGGAAAAGGAACATGAGACTAGGCAAAACTCAGAAGAAAAGTCATCTAAAAGTAAAACAAAGGTAAAGATAGATAATAGGAAAGAGATAAGAAAATTAGAAACTCCATCAAGGAAGTTCAACATCTAATAGAGAAGGAGAGGGTAGAGAAAACAGTGGAGAAAATTGACAAAGGAATAAAATGATAAAATGTCTCATAACCACTTAATCCATAACCATATTTGAACCATAACCAGTTGATCCTAGGTTGTGAGGTAGTTTTTGTTTGTATTTAAGCTAATGTTTGTGCTTAAAGCTTTATCCATTTGATGGATTCATGCATATTGTAAAGATTTGAGATAAAATAAAGAACTACTCAAGTGAAAAGGGTAAGAAGGACGTAAGCCCCTGGAGACGCATTTATTATTCAAGATGAAACCCTTCCTTTGAAAGCTTGGCAACTTAGTGGTGTAAAAGTTTTGTTTTTTTATTATTCAAAGTTTTTTCTTTTGTTCTCTGTCTCTTCCCACGCCACCCCCTATATTGCTAATACACCACTTTTCAGTAATTTGCTTTATGTTTTTTTACAATACTTCTTTTTTGGAAATCTCCAGATGATGACCATAAAGAAGAATGTCTGTTCTACCCCAGGCACTGTGTTAGTTTCTTTACATCCTTCATCTTCACCCCTTAAGGAAGGGGTGGGTGGCATTCCCATTTTATAGATGAGGAAGATGGGGCTCAGAGAGATTGAATGATGTTTATAAGATGATACTGCTTATAAGTGCGTAAGCTAGTCAGGTCTGAGTGATTCCAGGCTCTGATTTTTTTTCTACATCATATCACCATGCTCCTCTTGCTGTGAAATAATTCTTAAGGAATGTGAACATTTATTCAGACTGCAAGGTATACTAAGAGTCTTTCTAGGGATATATTTGCCTCTTGGACCTTATATGAATATTAGTCATTCAAAAATACATGTGTTAAGCATTTACTTTGTACCATATGTAGTGTATTAATAAGTGCTTAGATTTTCAAACTCTTCAGATGTTGTGGGCAGATAGATGGCTAAAATAACATTGAAGGGAAGAAGTCATTAAGGGGAGAGCTCAGCTTCAGCCTAAGCTGGAAAAGATTATGAAAGGAGGACTTAGTGATTGCTAGAAATTAAAAACAAAAGTTTTCTATTGACATATGTAATGTCCTAGTGAGTTAGTAATTTATCTTAATATATATTTATGACATTTATAAATGCCACAGAAAAATATAACAGATACAAAAGAACAGATTTACAGTATATTAAATTTCTTTAAGTTTCCAAACTGCTGTTGTAGTACTTCATAAGGTAAGCTTTGACTTCCTTTCTAAGACTGTCATCTCAATTCAAGGAAGCTCTGGTTTAGAGTGTCTTGGTCTCAGTCCCAATTTCAAAATCTTGTGTGTTTGAGAAATAACTTTTTTTCCTTGAGGGTTTTCGTTTCCCTCGTCTCTTAGTCATGCTCAGCTGGATGGTAGTATATCATGTAAAATGGTAGAGACTCTTGGAAGTTATTTTTGTATTTGAACAATTGAGACAGTGTAACTATTCACATGGCTTAGCTCCTAGAATAATATTTGTGGTTTTAAAAATAAATGCACATGCTGTATAATAAATAACTTTAACTCAAGAGTTGATTATAGTAGTTTGTAGACAATTGTATGTGCAGTTGTGCTTTGTTTTATACAAATAGATAGTCCCTAAAGGGAAATATATAAATTAAATTGCATAAAAAATTCCAAATGTATTATGCTTTTTTTTTTTTTTGAGACAGAGTCTCACTGTGTTACCCGGGCTAGAGTGCCGTGGCGTCAGCCTAGCTCACAGCAACCTCAAACTCCTGGGCTCAAGCGATCCTCTTGCCTCAGCCTCCCAAGTAGCTGGGACTACAGGCACGCGCCACCATGCCCGGCTAATTTTTTCTATGTATTTTTAGTTGTCCAATTAATTTCTTTCTAATTTTAGTAGAGACGGGGTCTCGCTCTTGCTCAGGCTGGTTTCGAACTCCTGAGCTCAAACAATCCGCCTGCCTCGGCCTCACAGAGAGCTAGGATTACAGGCGTGAGCCACTGCGCCCGGCCTGTATTATGCTTTTAAATACAAAGAAATTCATAGGGGCTGGAAAAATCTTAAGTTATGGAGATTTTTCTAAATATGAAATGTAGAGGCATTTAAGGAAAAGATTGATAGAATATTTCTGTTTGATCAAAGATAACCGTGAACAGAGTGAAAAGACAAAAATGACAGACTGGGAAAAGTACTTTTAATAAAACAGAAAGGGCCGGGCGCGGTGGCTCATGCCTGTAATCCTAGCACTCTGGGAGGCTGAGGCGGGTGGATCGTTTGAGCTCAGGAGTTCGAGACCAGCCTGAGCAGGAGCGAGACCCTGTCTCTACCAAAAATAGAAAGAAATTAATCAAACAGCTAAAAATATATAGAAAAAAATTAGCTGGGCATGGTGGCGCGTGCCTGTAGTCCCAGCTACTTGGGAGGCTGAGGCAGGAGGATCGCTTGAGCCCAGGAGTTTGAGGTTGCTGTGAGCTAGGCTGACGCCACGGCACTCTAGCCCGGGCAACACAGTGAGACTCTATCTCAAAAAAAAAAAAAAAGTAAAGCGGAAAGGATTTATAGACACTTCTATAAATTAATAAAAAATAAATGAACAACTCAGGAGAAGTATGGGTAAGGAAAATAAAGTTTACAAAACAAATACAGGTGGCTTATAAACATACAAAACTAATTTGTCTCAATAATCAAAGAAAGTCATATTAAACAAGTTATAATCATTCACCGGTTAGGTTGTTAAAGAGCATTGTATGAGTCAGAGTCCAGTCAGGAAAACACCACTCTAGGCATTTCAAACCCAAAAGATTAATTACCAGAAATTGATTACCTACATGTTGGAAGGCTGGAAGAGCACAAAGGGAATACTGAAGTAACCCAGAAATGAGAAACTGCATGAAGCAATTACCACTCCTGAGGCAAGAGAGACAAAAGGGAAGAGGACAATAACCTAGGGCTGTGGAGGAGGAGCCACCGTGAGGCTAGATAATTAGTATCTGAGAGAACTCTGCTAGGCTGAGGTAGGTAGCAGCAGAAGGCCCTGGAACAGTAGCTCCTTGTGTGCTGCTGTTGGAGAGAGGTCAGCAAGAACAGGAATCAGCAAGAGGGTTTCCTCTCCCATCCCCGACTCCCACCTTGCAGTCCCTCCCATTGGCAGAACACGACCCCAGCTAGGGTCTAGGAAGTATTATTTGCAGACTTCCAGACCCAATGTCACAGAAGCTTTGAAAACTAGCAACTAGAGATATCCACAGGTGCTAATAACCAGTATTGGTGAGAGGGGTATTAGATGAAATACGCCTTTGCATATGCTGTCAGTAAGAATGTATATAGATTCAATCTTCTGGGAAGACAATTTGCTAACACCTATAAATATTTTAAACATGAATTGTCTTTGACCCAACAATTTCTTGACAGTCTATGACAAGAACTTTGTCCCTTAGAGATGCTAGCCCAAGTATGGAGAAATATATGTATATGATGTTTCATTGTGATATTTTATGTAATTTCAAAAACTGGAAATAGCCTAAGTGTCCATCATTAGAGGATTGACTAAATATATTGTGGTATATCCATTTAATGAAAAACATGACCATAAAAAAATAAGAGTTTTACCTATGTTATTATGTGATAAAAGCAATATTATGTGTAGTCTGACATATTTTATCAAATCCAAGAGAGTCACAATGTTGAACCTAATAAGGTTTCTCGGCTACTGCAGACATAAATTTAGAGGTAATACGCACAATATTTCCTTTGTTTATTTTTTTCTCTCAACAGTTATGAATGCAGGAATGAGGAAGTACTTCCTACAAGCCAATGATCAGCAGGACCTAGTAGAATGGGTAAATGTGCTGAACAAAGCTATAAAAATTACAGTAAGTATTTGTATATTTTTGAAAAATTTTCAACATCTGGAAGTAATCTTTATACTTTGAAAATACACCTACTGAATGTCTCCAACTTTCCAATAAGTTTCATACTCAAGCTTTGTTTAAAAGGCAGGTATTCAGAAAATGCGTACATTTTCTTGTACATGGTGACTGTCAGCCCTTTAATCAACCCATGAATGCCTTTTTAACCTGTTATATACCTAATAAGGATGTATGTCACTGTAGATCTTAACCACTGCTTATAATAATGTTTCTAGGGGAAAATGAACTTAGTATGTAGAGTTCTACCTTGAGGATGTACTTTTTTTCTTCCAGACTAGCATGAGACTTACTGCCACCTGCCTAGGTAATAGGAATGGGCACTCCTGTCTTCTAAGCCATGACTGGGACTGGTGTCATATAGGGCAGGAGTTGAAGATACGAACAGACTAAGGGGAGAGGTGAAGGCTAGAAATGAGGTATAGGGACGCGGATTGGGTCTGAAGAGTTGTGCAGCCAGACGGTCCTGCCCATGTGCCCTTGGGGAGTCTGTCTCAGGCCCTAAACTTCTTTCCTCACCCGATTTTCCTCCTTGAGTCCCAGGGCTTGGTACCCTTGCCCTCCTTTCCACTGCTGCAACTTCTTGCTTCTAACCTGGGCTTCTTTTTGATTTTCTGGTGAACATCAATATTTATTGATTATTTATACTGTGCCAGGTCTTAGACTGAAGGTTTTATTCAAGTTATCTGGAAAAGTGAGGCTTAGAAGGATTGAGTGACTTTTACAGTTTTCATAGCTGGTAAGTTATAGAGCTGGGGGCCCAGCCCAGTCCAGTTTGTGGGCTCTGGATCCAGAACTCTGAAGCACTGTACCTTACTGCTTCCTGAACAAAGAGGCTTCTCGTTATTCTTTTGTTCCTAAAGCAAAAAACAAACTTTACTAAGAGAGTTTACTATGATGATGATGAGCAAGGGGATAGATTCTGTTCCAATTGTACCGTGCCTCACCCTTTTCCCCTTCCATACTTGCAGAGAAATACAAAGTAGGCCCCCTGGAAAGGGTGGAGAAGGAGTTCCTGTGTGAGGTTCGTGTCAATTGAAGTGTGTTTTTACTGAAGTGCAGCTAATTTACTGACCCTAAATGACTTATTCTTGAAGAACATGTGCCCTGAAAGTCAGCATATGTTAGTCACTTGTTAGTTTCCATCTAAAAATGAATGATTCCATATTTACATCAGAGTACAATAAAGAGTTAATATAGCTAAAGCTGTTCTCAGAGTCAAGTCAAATTTTTTTGTCTTGTACTAGAACAGCTTGTTACCACATGACAGAAAACGCCTACGCACTGCATCTGATCTGTACATGAAGCAGAAGTTATTTTAGGTTTCTGCAGTTTCAGGAAAGCAATTTTTTGAAGTGATTCAGACATACATATTTTTAAAAGGTTTTAGCTGATCGTTTTTAGGGTTTTTAGTAAATATTCCCTACTTGGAAAATTTCTTTAGAAAGGCTGTATCTGGTAATTTTACTGAATTAATTCATTTTTTACAATTTGTAGTAACAAGTAGCACTGGTTTCTTAGTGCTTTAAGAGAAAAAGTGAATGGTCTCAGTTGTGGGGGCTTCACTGTAGATTTATTGAATTGGAATTTCTGGGTATAAAGCCTTGGAATTGTATGTTTTTAATAATGTTCCTGGATGATACCTTATTGCACACTTAAGTATGAGAAACCACACTGCTTTGGAATCACACTAATAAATGGTGGAGTCTTTGAATACAACGTGAATGGTGTCCTCCGTAGTTCTGCCAGTACCATTAACAGGGATTAGCTATGTAACAGGAAAATTATTTAATTTTCAGTTAAGTTTTTATACCACTACTTCCTTGATTATCAGTAGTATTTGTCATAATATTTCTGAAAGATTTCAAGATCCCCAAATGCCCTTTAAATCACTGGAGAGAGACTAAATTATGTTGAACATCATAATTGATGCTGAAAGTATTTCGTTACATTTTATTCACAGCCTTAAAATTTGTAATTCAAATACAGACTACATGTTTAACAGTCTGTAGATAGAAATAATGATTAGCTGAGTACCTTATTCCCTGATTAGGCCACATAAGAAAAGCTAAAATATATGTTGAACATTAGTGATACCTCTGATTTTTGATTCTGCTTTAATGAGGTATTAATATACAAGACTCTGCTGTTATCACAATAGTTGTCTGTTTATATTTTGAGTGTTTTATCACTGGTACAAGTATTGGAACCCGTTCTTTATTATTTATTTATTTATTTTTTTGAGACAGAGTCTCACTCTGTTGCCCTGGGTAGAGTGTAGTGGTGTCATCATAGCTCATTGCAACCTCAAATTTCTGGGCTCAAGAGATCCTCCTGCCTCAGCCTCCCATGTAGCTGGGACTACAGGTGTGTGCCACCTCGCCTGGCTAATTTTTCTATTTTTAGTAGAGATGGGGTCTCACTTTTGCTCAAAGTGGTCTGGAACTCCTGACTCAAAGTGATCCTCCTGCCTCAGCGTCACAAAGTCCTAGGATTACAGGCATGAGCCATTTCCCCTGGTCTCCTTTAAATTTCTAATGAGAAGTTTTACTTTATTTTGAACATTTTGATTTTCGACTTATGTTAAGAATTTATTATTCTTTTTTCCTGCTGATTTGGGATTCATCATTGAGTCAGTCTTTCAACATTCATTGAGTCCTTACTGTGTTTGTGGTAGTAGACTTTGTCTTGAAGCCAGGAAAGATTGAATATGCCACGATCTCTGTCTTCGGGACCTTGGGTAAGAATGGAGGCAAGGGAGGATTAACAGCAAGAAGCTGTAAGCCAATATTGAGTGCTCTAATAAACAGAGTATAGAGTATAGTCCTTGAGTTTGGAAGAGTTACATAAACTTGGCTAGAATGTAGTATAACTAGGATCTAGACCCATGTTGTCTAATGCCTCTGAGCCTCTGTTTTCTTACCTCTCAAATAGGAGTACTGCCCCTATGCATAGGGTTGACAGGAAGAGTAAATGAGAAACTGTATGAAATAGTACCTTCCTATGTCAGCACTCAGGGAGTGATGGCTGTCTTTATAAAGGATTACTCTAACAGGAAAATTAGTGTGAGAACTTAAAGGAGTACATACACATACACTGTAAATAATTTTTATATAGATTTGTCAGTTACATATAAATGGATGATTAATTAGAACTTCTGTGATAAAAGAGGCTCACATATATAATGTTGGTTGCAAAATGATTCATTTTATTTACTGTTTCAGGTACCAAAGCAATCAGACTCACAGCCTAATTCTGATAACCTAAGTCGCCAGGGTGATTGTGGAAAGAAGCAAGTGTCTTACAGAACCGATATTGTTGGAGGTGTACCCATCATTACTCCAACTCAGGTAGTAGAGTAATATCTTCTATTGTGTGAGAATCTAATCATTGTATGTTGATTTTTGTATTGTTATTAGAACTAAAAA